TTTTTTAATTGTTGTGTGGGGGCCACAGGGTGGACAAATCATGCTGAGGTTGCGAAGTGGAGTATGTGTGACTTTACCTCAGAAAGTTAGAAAAGGTACACACAAATCTAAGTTTAGCTATCTTCCATTTTGGCAGCCCTATGCAACCTTAACTCTATGTTAAAGTTTTAGGGCATCTACAGAACTTGCAACAGTTGTTTGCTCAGTTAGCATAGCAAACTTTGGCAGCTACTGGCCCGCAACAGCTTAAAGGGGGAAAGCTTTGTATCCTGTTAGTAAGCATGTGAGCAATCCAGTACCTCTGGATTTGACGTATTTTGCATCTCATCTGGTTGTTTGTTACAGGCGGCTGTGTATCCTGAAGGGGGTTTACCCGCATGAGCCAAAGCATAAGAAGAAAGTAAACAAAGGCTCCACAGCAGCACGGACTTTCTACCTCCTCAAAGACATCAAATTTCTTCTCCATGAGCCCATTGTTAACAAGTTTCGGGACTATAAGGTACTCTTTGCAGCAAGGGGCAGTTGGACACTAGATTATGTTCATTTTGCATGGAGTCGCATGTCTGTTATTTCAAAGCTGTGTTTGCTCTAAGAAACAGCTTTCCTGTCACCCTGCAGCATCTTGTGCTGAGATTATTGGTTTACCTTGCCTGTCTTAACAGCAAAGTATAGCTGCTGCCCCCACCCCTCTCAGTTGTGCATATTCCTGACCCACTGTGGATCTTGAGGCTGCTTCTGTGATGGGGAGACTGTGGTTTAGATATTGAATAGGAGGTGCCAGACACTAGCTGGTCTATCAAGGTGCTTAGTTCGACCTCATAAAGAGCGTGGTTGATGTAAAAACTCTCTGGGCATCAGGCATTCCTAGTGCAGAAGGTGTATTGCTCTGAATCTGTTTGTGCTTGGTAATGTGTTGTATCACTTAGTTTCCGCAAAATCATGAGCAGGAAGAAGTTCAAAAGTCAAAAACCAAGTAGGCTTTTATAGATAATGAAATATTAGCAGTGTTCATTTGGGACTTTTGGCTCACTTGCTATGGAGAGTTGAACAGGTTAGTATTGTCCAGCAACCATGGTACTCAAATGGGAACCTGGACTCTTAAATTCTCTTCCCAGCCCTGCTACCAACTCTTGTGTTATCTTAAGTAAGTACTCCTCAAACTTTCTGCCTTATCTGTGTGGATTACTGGGATGGTCTGAGTGGAACCAGTAGTGGGAGCTGATTTTTGCAGGGATATCTTAACCTGTACACAACCTTTGAGAGGGGACTGTTGGCCCCACCCCATGACGTTGCTAGAAGTGTATTCCATCTGGGCACATCATCTCACTAATGCCACTCTTTTGCATCCCTTGCCTCTGCCCCAGTAACCAGAAGCGTGTTTGGTGCAGGAAGCAGTTACGTGGTTCCAGTTCCTAATATCATCCTCATGGGATGGATTTCCCTCCCTGGAGCTGACCAGATCTCTGTCTCTCTCAGGTGTTTGTCCGGAAGCTTCGGAAAGCATATGGGAAAAGCGAATGGAACACGGTGGAGCGGCTGAAGGATAACAAGCCCAGCTACAAACTTGACCACATTGTTAAGGAGAGGTGAGGAGGGGGCTGGGGCACTGATCACATCCTGACCAGTGCTGCATGGCAGACAAAGCAACCAAACAGCATGGTTACAAACATGGAAGAGTTGTTCTCATTTGTAAGAACATATATCACAGCATTTGGCTGAACTGGGCATCTTTGCACCCTCCTGTTGTAGGGTCTGTTGAAACCTTCAGTGCCTGAGGTGTGCCAGACAGCCTCTTGCAAGTGTCCAGACTTGTAGTTGTACCTCCTATAACCAACACATTCAGCGTTTCCAATAAGTTGTGTCACTGGCTTACAAATGTTTAGAAATAGATGCCTATGAGCTGAACTTGGAGACAGTTATTTGTTGCAGCAAAACAGTGACGAGTAGTGACTGGACTCAGGAAGCATTCCTAGCCCTCTAAGTGGTTGTATGATATGTAGTGAGATGTAATAGCTCACCTGCTTTCCTCGAAGCCCTTGGCAGACATTTGACTTGCCAGACCAAGCAACACCCACAAGTACAGCCCAGCCTAGACCGACGAGCGAAACATATACACAGGTAAGTGACAGGGGCCAGGGCAATTCTGTGATTAGGGGGCCAGTACACACATCCACAGGAGGCCTCAAATGCCTCTACACAAACACTCGTAGTATGGGAAACAAGCAGGATAAACTCACCCTACTGCTAGCTGACACCAACCCGGACATAGTAGGGATCACTGAAACGTGGTGGGACTCAACGTATGACTGGGTGGTGAATGTCCAGGGCTATAGGCTGTACAGGAGGGACAGGATAGGAAGGAAAGGTGGGGGCGTGGCACTCTACATTAAGGAGGAATACCCATCCCCATCAATTAACAAAGAATCAGAGGAAGGGCGCATGGAAGTGTTTTGGGTTAGAATACAAGGCAGTCGAGGGGAAAGAGACTTAACGGTGGGGGTCTACTACAGACCTCCCAACCAAGGGGAAGAGCTCGACCAGGAATTCTTAGGTCAGCTCATGGAGGTAGTGAAGTCTAAGGATGTGGTAGTGATGGGGGACCTGAACTTCCCGGACATCTGCTGGGAAGAGCAGTCAGCCAGATCTGACTGCTCACGTAGGTTCTTAGCCAGAATGTAGGACCTGTGTCTAACCCAAGAGGTGCACAGCCCCACCAGGGGAGACGCCTTGTTGGACCTGGTGCTGGCCACAGGAGATGACCTGGTGAGGGGGCTGTGGGTACTCAACCACCTGGGTGACAGCGATCATCGCCTGCTGGAATTCACCATCCAGCACAAGGTGGCAAAGACATGCAGCAAGGCAGCAGCCCTAGATTTCAGGAGGGCAAACTTCAATGAGCTAAGGAGAATAGTC